TCCCTCGTTCTGTCTTTGATCCACCTCTGCTGCAGAACGAGATCAAAACGAAATCGCCGAAACATCGTTTAGCTCGAGCCCTGAGTCCTAGTCTAGTAGATGCCCAAGATTTCTCGCGTCGTGAAAGAATGACAACGGGGGGGTTCGCATTCCTCGGCCTCATGGAGCCCTTCCCAGGCCGCAGGGCCGTCAAAAAGACTCGCGATGAAGCAAGAGTCCCTTTGGGGGGTTCCGCGTGGAACAAATCAAGAGTCGAGGTCTGAGTACATCGAAGCTGGAAACAGGCGCTGGAAGAATCAGGAAGGAGAAGACACCGCATAAACATTGGCTTTTCGGAGGTTCGCGCGGATGTCCTGCAGCGGCGCTGGACCCTCCTCCTTGGCGCGCGAAGCACACCAGGGGCGGCGCCGTCACGGGGTCCGGCGCCTATTCAAGATATCCTCGCGTACCTCCGAAAGTGTCTGTTTTCTCAGTTACGGGAAGCTGGTAACACACATGGCTGGATTCACACATCGAACATCTGGAAGCCACGCGATGGATACAATGGAGGCCAATCCACTGGAAACCTTCCGCAAGAAACCCAACCCTGAGACACCAGGACGTCCATTGTTTTTTGGTTTGGGAACGTCACGCGTTCCGTAGCAAAACCATCGAAACCCAAGAAAGCCAGGGCACTCTGGAGGGAAGCAGGGTGTTTCTTGGCATGGGCCTCCACTGCACATACTCATGCGGAGGGCCAGCGAACCTGGCCGCAGAAGGGCCAAGCGATGGAAAAGGCGTGTGTCCAGAATATGTGTTCAACCCTCGCCAAGGCCGACCGCGCGACATGTGCCTCCAGCTTCCTGGCACTCTGGATGGCTCAATAGGCCTAGAGGGTGAAAGTTCGGGGGGGTAGGAATGGCTTCTCAGTACGACTTTCAAACACATAGCTGCCGATATACACATATACACGAGAACCTTCGCACGCGCTTCGTGCAAGGAGGCTCAAGCTGGGTATGTTGCGCGGTTGAAGTCGCGATAGAGCTACATTACCACCGTATTCGCCTTCCTCCATCTCACCGTCATCTTTCTCGTCCTCGCCTCCTCTCTTCTTCGTCCTCGTCCTCGCATCCTTAATCTTCCATTAAGATGTACACCAGCCGCGCGACAGAAAGATAACGGATCTCAGAGCTCCCTCCCCTTCCCACCTCGGGAATGGAAGGAACAACTGGCGGACAAGAAATATGCATGCTTATACACACAAATATGTATACATGCTTATAAACACATTTTTGTGTGTATATATATATATATACATAGATACATACTTTACATTTACATATACAAGACTGCATTGGCGTTTCGCGCCCATGCACCTTGGTCCTTAAAGTTTGGTACGCAGGCGGAATGACAGGAAGGTCAAGCCGACAATTTAGCGGTAATTCCTTGTTGCCTTTTCAAGCATCGCCGTTATAATAATGTTCTTCGCTATCATTCCTCCATGCTGCTTTTTCCTCATTCTCGCCATACCCTGCGTATTCTCCCCATACTTCGCAGCGCTTTTTGCGGAGGCTCCTCCTTGGAGAGCCTCTGGGGCCCTCACAACAATTTTTCAGGCGTTCTTAAAGCCTTATGGAAGCCTCCCGGGTGTCTTCTGGGGGCTTCCTCGGGCCACCCTGCCTCCAACCACGGTCTCCCTGAACGACCGGGTCACGATTTAGCATGCTTCGGAGGTCGTCTTGGGGCCATCTTAGAACCCTCTTAAGCCGTCTTGGAGCTCTCTTGGACTGCCTGCAAACCCTTTCGGATGGTTCTGGGGCGGTTTTCGAGCCTCCCAGGCGGCTTCGGCCACCCAGAATACCGCTGTCTTGGAGCGTCGAGAAGCCGAAAAGAGGAGAACCCCGAGATTCACCAAAAACCAACCGAAAATCAATGAATTTCGCCTCTTGGGTCTTCTTGGGAGTGCTCTCGGAGGCCTCTTGGGAAGTTTTGGAGCGATCTTTCGGGGTATGACGGCTTCTTTGGGGTTGTCGTGGACCGTCTTGGGGCTCGCTGGGGTCGTTTCGGAGAGCGCCGGAACGCCTGGAGCCCTCTGGGGCGTCTTCCCGCTCTCGTGGGGTTCTCCCGGGTCATCTGGAGGGTTGCCCGAGAGGCCCAGGATTGGCCAAATGAATTCGGGGGAGGGGGGAGCGCTTGTTCCGGGGTCCCCGGCCCTATAAGAAAATATGAATAGAAATGGTGAAGACATCCGATAACAACCATAGAGAGGGAACCCAGGGTCTGGAAAACCGGTGCAACACCAATTGAGGCTTGGCCATGCGACATGTAATCACAGCCACCCAAACAAGAACCCCCCAGGGCACAAAGCCTGCAAGGCCCATTCCTTAACGAAGGCCTCCACCATACTCCAGTTACTCAGGCAAGGAGGGAAGAGAGAGGAAGGGATTTCACGCCAGAGCCTGAGCCACCAAACGGCCTACCTCATCAGTGTACGGGTGGCTGGGAACCTTCTACTTCCAAATACGGCAAAAAGACTCCCGCTGTCCCGTGTCAAACATCCTGAGGCTGGGATCCTTTATGCACGCGGCGCAAGAAATCGAACGAATCAATGCCTCCTCAGCGAGTAACCCCTTCCTCTCAAGCGTGGCTCAGGCGCAGTGCCAACTCAGGAGGTCAGCAAACTCACAAGTTGAAATGCCGCAAGGAGCTGAGAGGGGGGGGCGCAGTGCTGTTGACTGGAAGAGGCTTGAACGCATATGAAAGCTGGCACGCGTAACGAGGCAGGCACCACCAGAGAACGTGGTGCTACAGTTGATAACGAATGAAGGAGGGGCCAAGCAGGCGGCCTTTTCCTGGCGAGGCTGGAGGCCACTGCAGTGGAGGACCAGGTTCGCATCCGCTGCGGCAGTAGCATGAGCGCCGTCGCGGGGCGGGGTCGGTGCGAGCCGTGGGGGTCCTCCTCCTCCTCATCATCATCTCATTCTCATTATCATCATCATCCTCGGGCCTTGGCTTTAGAGGCAGTGACGGGCAAGGCCATCAGAAGCTCCGAGCCCCATTCATCGAAAAGAAATAACATAGAAGTGAGTGCCGGGCAATGCCAGCAGAAGGATTCCCGGGTAACTTGCCGAGAAGAGCCTACGGTGTCAGAGGGGCAGCCAGAGAAAAAGCGTGCCCGCCATAAGGGCAGCCCCTTCACCGATTCGATCGCCACTGGGCGCGCCAGCCAATACGCTGATTTGCGCCCCCCCTCCTATCTCCCCCCCTCCCTCTGGTTGAGGGAAACAATTACCGAACGCGCCCCATCCTTTGAACTTTGAGGGGAGGGAGAGGCGTTGACAGATGAATGTGCCATGAAACGTGCGCTATTTTTTCCCGAGGCCTGTCCCACAAGAAATCCCGCACTGCGCCGCATGCTCGCATGCTCCAGCGAACCCGTGCAGAGGAACAAGGGCCATTGCGTGCAAGCCGACGGCTGCGCCCGCCGTGTGTGACAGGCTCGGTCGGCTCTGGCGTGCGATCGTGCCGCTTATCCTCGAATAGTCCTCCTCTTCCACCTCCTCCTCCACATCCTCCCCCTGAGAACCAGCACCCTGCCAGTCTCCCACTCTATCCCTACGCAGGGCGGCTCGGACCGCATTAGTGTTGGTGCACAGCACGTCCATCTGCATCTAGCGGGGAAGCTGGGGAGCTAGGGGGTCAGGTCGGTGAAGATCGCATGCGCTTGCACAAACCATCGGCCTGCCATCGTCCTCAGTCTCCTCTTTGGACACGACCACACCACCTCCTTCTTCAACACCAGCATCATCCTCATAACAACCACCATCACAACCGTCATCATCATCATCATCATCATCATCATCATCATCATCATCATCATCATCATCATCATTATCATCATCATCATCATAATCAGCATCATCACCATCATCATCATCATCATCATAATCAGCAACATCATCCTAATCAGCATCATCATCATCAGCATCATCAGTAGCATCATCATCAGCAGCATCATCACCATCACCATCACCATCATCATCATCAGCAGCAGCATATTTGCTATCATCATCATCACCATCATCACCATCGTCATCATCATCATCATCATCATCATCATCATCATCATCATCATCATCATCATCATCATCATCATCATCATCTTCATTATCACCGCAACCATCACACCGCAGCCATCAGCACCACCCCAACACAATTACCACCATCATCGTAGTCGAACGCATCATCGCCATCAGCACCATCATCAGCAGCAGCAGCGGCAACAGCATCACAGTCACTATCATCCTCATCATCAGCAGAATCAGCATCAGCATCAGGATCAGCACCATCATCCACCTCATCCTCATCATCATCAACATCATCATCATCATCAGCATCATCATCATCAAAATCATCATTATCAGCAGCATCATCAGCATCATCATCATCATCACCATCATCATCCTCATCATCACCACCAGCATCATCATGTCTATCATCATCATCATGAACATCACCATCCTCATCAACAGCAACAACAACACCAGCTGCACCATAATCGCCCGTGTCACCAACATCATCAGCATCATCCTCATCACCGGAGCCATCATCACAACCACCACCATCATCATCAGAATCACCATCATCGTCATCATCAACCTCATCATCATCAGCATCATCGTAATGAATACCAGCATCATCATCATCGTTGTCGTCGTCATCACCGTCATCATCACCATCAGATCTCACCATCATCATCATCATCATCATCATCATCATGGCAATAATCATCAACAACATCATCATCGTCATCGGCATCATCATCATCATCAAAATCATCAGCATCACCGTCATCGTCGTCGTCGTCCTAGTCATCCTCATCGTCACCATCACCAACAACAACGGCATCAACAACACCAGCTGCACAAGAATCGCTGGTGTCGCCAACATCATCATCATCATCAGCGTCATCTTCGTCGTCATCACCACCATCACCACCATCATCATCAGCAGCATCAGCATCATCATCAGCATCGTCGTCATCATCATCGTCACCATCACCATCATCACCACCACCATCACCATCATCATCACTATCAACATCAGCATCATCGTCGTCCTCATCAGCATCATCATAATCATTATCTTTATCAGCATTATCGTTATCATCGTCGTCATCATCATCATCAACATCAGCATCAGCATCGGCATCACCATCATCAGCATCATAATCAGCATCGTCAGCATCAGCATCAGCATCATCAGCATCATCAGAATCGCCAGCATCATCATAATCATTAACATTATCATATTCAGATTCATGTTCAGATTCAGCAGCATCATCAGCAGCATTCTCGGCGTCATCATCATCATCATCAGCAGCATCATCCTCATCATCATCATGATCAGCATGATCACCATCATCATAATCATCATCAGCAGCATCAGCATCGCCATCATCATGACCATCAACATCATCATCATCATCATCATCATCATCATCGTCAGCATAATCATGGTCACCATCATCATCACCACCAGCATCATCGATATCGTCCGTCCTGCTCCTGAAGCTCCACCTCACCTGGCCATCCACTTCGAGATACTCTTCCTGCTCCCGTCTCATATTCATTCTCCTCCTCTTCATCCGAATTTCTTCAGAATGTCCTGCTGTTCCACCCTCATCCTCTGGCTCATCCTGCTTATCAGGCTCTCCCCATGCAGCGGGATGAGACTGGCGCGTTAGACGCGTTGGGCTCTCAGGGCCAGCGGCTTGCGCAAAAAACTGGCCTGAAACAAAGGCTCAGCTCCAGCTGCGTCAGATCGCAGAGCGCTGGGACGCGCTCCTGCAACATTTACCGCGCTTGCTCCTCCACTCGCGCCGCTTTGCGGCGGGCCCCTATCAGAAACGGAGCCCTGGAAGGTGAAGAGAGAAGGAGGTACAGGAAGGGAAGGAGAAAGAAGGACACAGGAAGGGAAGGAAGGAAGGAAGCAGGAAGAGAAGAGATAAGGAGGAAAAGTAGGGAAACGAAATCTATACACCGACGCCTTTTCCGACCCTGCGCTGAGATTCGCATAGGAACGCGGATCCTGGTGTATACGGGATCCTGGTGTATAGATTCTTCGCTGTTTCCCTTGGGCAACGGGGGAAAAGTATACACCACACCACCCCGACGGGTGCCGCCAGAGCCAGCTCTTCCAGAGGGAGGCCCGGGCGGCCTTCCGAGCACCCGCCACGAGGCCCACAACGCCACAGGGGCTCCTCCTCCTCCTCCTCCTCCTCCTCCTCCTCCTCCTCCTCCTCCTCCTCCTCTCGACTGCATCCCTTTCTCATGTTCGCAATTGTGTGTTCTTCTGACCCAGAGGCTGCAAAACAGACGCAAAGAGCTGGGGAGTACCTCGGGTCAGTGTATCGCCTCTGGCCCCCCGAGAGCGGATCGTCGAGGATCGAGGCTCCACTCGACCAACATCCGCGTCAAAGTTCGTTCCCAGACCCCTCCCAGGGCCAATAATGCTCAGTTTGACGAGAGGCGCACAGCCGTGGCGACGAAGTCGTTTTTTAGGACGTCCTGGTTATGAGATTGAGAGGTCGACCACGGGTAGGATAGCAAAAGAGCACCCCCACCCCTACCTAGCTCCCCTCCCCAGACCCAGAGACGCCGACGTCATGATTGTATCATGACGTCGATCCCCAGAGGTCTGGACTCGTTCCCCGGGACCGGTTGTTCATCATGAGTTGTGTTTTGACGGTCCTGGGGCCCGGCGAGGGCCCCCGGAGGCCGAAAATAGCGAAAGCCCCCCCGCCAAAATTTGTGTCATGACGCGAGGGGGTCTGGGGAGGGGGACAGGCCAGGTGGGGGTGGGGTATGCTGATCGGGTCCTCTCGGCGAGACATCCACACAGTCGAGAGCCCAAGCTCTGAAGGCCCAGCCCCCGAGGGGGGCGCGAGGGGGAGCACGGGCCAGCGACGAAGAGAAGCGGGCCTCGCGCGAGCGGACAGCGCGGCGACCTTGCGCGGTGGCCTACGCAGGCCGCCAGCGTGGCACGCCGCGCGGAGAAGATGGCGCTTACGGTCGGACCTGCATCCCCCCGCGAAACTCAACGCAGGTTTTCCGCGCCGCGTCGGCGCCCCAAGACCCCCAAAATTTCAACATTGGTACCGAGGCACGCGGCTTCCACTTTTCCGACGGCGTCCGCGCACCGCGCACCGCGCGCAACTGGACATTGAACTTGGGGGCGAGGAGGCGCTGGCAAAACGTGCGTTAAGTTTCGCGGAGGGCTGCAGGCCAGAAACACACTCCTCAAGAACATGAGACCCTCCGCCGGCCAAAACACACAGAACATCCAGGGGTACCCTCCCCAGGGTGCGCAAGAGCATCCCACGAACACGAAAAACACGAGGGTACCCTCCCTGAACCGACCTCGATCTTACACCTCGGTCCGACTACACGCGCGACCTTACGCGGGCAGCTTACCCACCAATGTCCGTGCCGTCGACCCCGTTCCCTTCCGTCGCTCAGGTGGGGGTGGAAGTGCGCCTCATCGCCCCAAGCAGGGGCCATCTCGACGACAGCGGCACGCCTGCTTGGCGAGTTGCAGCGCAGTGCTGAGGGGCATCACGTCGTTGGCATCCTCCATCTCCTTCGTCTCATCATTCCACATGCCGATGATCCGCACCTGGCCCGGCGAGGCGCGCGCGAGCGAGCGCCATCGTCTGGCCCAGCTCGGCGGGCAGGGCCGCAGCCGTCCGAGCGGGTCGGGGAGGCCGCGGCCCCCGGGAAGGGGAGGGGACGGGAAGCAGGAGGCGTAGGTGGCGCGGCGGAGGAGGGAAGCAGGGAGGGGGGGGAGGAAGGAAGGGAAGCAGGGAAGCAGGGAGGCTGTGCGGCGGAAGGGGGGAAGGGAAGGGAAGCAGGGAGGGGGGGAAGAAAGAAGGGGACGAGGGAGGCAGAGCATGGGGAGGGGAAGGGGCGATGGGCAAGGAAAAGCAGGGACGAAGAGGAGGGAGAGGGGGAGGGAAGGAAGGAGGAGGCCGACGAGTGAGCGGTGGTGGCGCATTTGTGAAATAGGACGCCTGGGTGGAAGATGAGGTGCGGACGAGGAGGGAAGCGGGCAAGGAACGGAAGGGCTGAAAGAAGGGACGAGATCATCCTCCTACTCAGCCTCCTCTCCTGCTCCCAGTCCTCCCCCACCCTCCTCCTCCATCCTCCCCGTCCTCCTCATCTGCCCTCGCCTTCTCCGTCCTCTTCCTCACTCCGTGGCCATGCTGGCTGAAACGCCTGCGCAGAGTCGCGCGCCTGAGGGTGCCACGAGCCTAACGCTGGGCGGCCCCTCGGCCGCTGGCCGCTCGCATACGCTGCGCCCCCACAAATCTTTCTTCCCATCCGCAAAACTCAACCACAGTGATGACATCTCCACCGAGCACTGCATATGAAGTGCATTTGGCTACGGCATAGCTGCGCCGCAGCATGAGACGAGCGACAGCTTGACGGCCGCCGAGCTGCCGAGAGCATCACACTGGCTCAGGAGGCGCCTGTGCCCCCGCAACTCCGCATGGCGGCGCGCCTTTCTGGCGGGAGGCTGGACCCCGACGCTTCGCTCGGCAAGCGACAACGAGCGCGTGCGCGCGCCACCGCGAGCGCGCGACCCCCAAAATGGTTCGGCCCGGAACCTGCAGTGCGCTGCGCTGCCAGGCGTGTGCAAGCCCAGGCATCCGACGTCTCGGTATTTTCAACAAGCGGCCCCAGGAAGTCCCAATCCTTTTCCATGGTGAATCACCTTTTGACAGCCCCGCAGCCCGCGAAGGGCTCCGAGAGGCCGAAAGCGACGAAACAAAATCCGTCCTGGTTTTTCGTTCACTACACTGGGTGTCTGGAAACGCCGCCGCGCCGTCTCCCGCGCAGGGCGACCCGCCCATAGAGGTCTCCAACATGGGGTCCGAATCCGAATAGACGGTGTGGAATGATCGCGCCGCGTCACCGGTGCATCGCATCGGCGATGCATCCGCGACGTCGGCGCTGCATCGGCGCCGTCCGCCTGGAGAAAATCGGGCTCCGCATTGAGCTGCATCGCCGATCATGCCTCGCCAGTGCGTCGCAATCCGCCGACACCACCGAGGAGGAGGAGGAGGAGAAGGAGGAGGAGGAGGAGGAGGAGGAGGAGGAGGCTCAAAACCCAGCGGACGCGCGCCCGATCCTGGCGCGCCAGCCGTGGAAAACGCCGCCGCGCGGGCCGCCGGGCCCGCGCTCAGCGCAAGGCCTCGCGGGCGGCTTTTTGGGGCGCCGCTCGCGAGCTCACCGCGGCCGCGGCCCTCCGCGGCTGGGGAGGCGGCCCGGCGTTCGGCCGAGCCGGGCTCCTGCCTGCCCAAATCTCGGACGATCTGGCTCCTGCAGTCCTGGGGCTCTTCTTCGGCTCTGGCCTCTGGGGCGCCGGGGCCAGCAGAAACGGAGCCGGGGCGAAGAGCTAGGGACTTGGTCGGGGTCTCTGGGGCCGCGGTCTGAAGAAACCATACAGCAACCGTGCTGCCAGAAGGAACGAAGGGGCTTTTCTGGCCACGGCGAGCCTCGGCCAAGAACAAGTCCCCCGATCTAGACCTAGGCACGACCCGAAAACCAGAGCCCTTCCTGAGACCAAAGTTGTCCTTCTCTCAGCCATCATGTATCTGCCACCGAGCCGCGAGGGGCTAAGTGGAGTTTTCTCCAGGCCCTCGTGTGTCATCTGTTCTCTGTATTCAGGACTCTGGGGCCCCAAGTTCTCAACATTCCTGGGCGTTCCCGCGCGTTCTTGGGCTGACTCGCGTGACTTTTCCACAAGCCAGAGGGCCCCAAGACGGGCTAAGAGGGCCCCAGAAAGCGCCCAAGAGGGTCCAAAAGGTCTCCAAGACAGCCCAAGAGCGCTCCAGGATGGCTCCAAGACGGCCCTGGAGGCCCCAACGAAGCCCCAAGAGCGCTGCAAGAGGACCCCCAGGAGGGCCCAAAGAGGCACAAATCATTGTTCTCGCGTTCTCGCGTTTTCAGGCTTCCCACGCTCCAAGATGGCCCCAGAGGCCTCCAACACTGCCCCAAGACGGCCCAAGAGGCCCCCAAGAGGGCCTCAAGACTGGCCAAGGGGGCCCCAAAACGGCCCAAGAGGCGCTCAAGATCGCCCAAGAGAGCCCCAAGACGGCCCCAAGAGGGGCCCAATAGGGGGAACACGAAACGACAATTCGAGCTTTCCGCCCCAAGAGGCCCCCAGGAGGCCTCGAGATGCCCCCACGAGAGCACAAGACGCTTCCGAGAGGCCCTACGAGGCCCCCAAGAGGCCCAAAAAGAGGCCCCAAGAGGCTCCCAAACGGCCTCCAAGAGGCATCAAAACTGCCTCCAAGAAGCCCCCGAGAGGCCTCCCACGATATCCAAACGAACATCCAAGAGACCTCTGACCCACAACCCAGGCACGGTGACAAAATGAGCCGAAGGCTGCTAGATTGTTTCACCGCCGACGACGACGACACTAGATTGTTTCACCGCCGACCACGACGACGACGACGACGACGACGACGACGACAACGACGGCGACGACGACGACGACGACGACGACGACGACGACTGAAAAGTCGAACCACATTCGAGCTGGAGGTCGGACAGCCCCTGCCAGGGCGGCCCCCAGGAAAGCCCCTGCGCCTGTCGGCCACACCTAAGAGTGTCCGTGTAGGCAGGAGCGACCTCTGGTGCGCGACTTTCAGGGGGGCGCGGGCAGGCCGAAGCGGAACGCGCAAGCCGCTGCTGTCGCATCGCATGCAACCATCTGTGAAGGGGCCCAGGGACACGCAAAGAAACAGACTCACATCCCAGGATCCCCAATATTTTCCAGCATTTTCTGGCTTTTCGTCCTCCCCACCACTTCTCAGATTCTCCCATACTTTCCAGGGAATCGACGATGACTTGTACATGTGTCATCTTCCTCTCCTGGATCTGGGGACCCCAGTGTGGCCGCTCAGGTCACTTTTACGTGTAGCCGATGTGCGATGATGGGCGCCGGGATTCGCCGCCACGCCCCACTGGCCACGTTGAGGCGCGGTATGATGCCAAAGCACAGTTTCTCTACAATCAATTACTTCATTACGGAAAATATAAATTGAGGAAGCTGGGCCAGCTTGTCAGAAGTTTCTGAAGGAAACGCTGGGCCAGCTTTTGGAGCCAGGAACGTGCACTCCTGATTTCTAGGATCCAAGGCTACCAATCCCGATCAGAAACTGAGCCAGCTTTCCGGCAAGTTGGTTAAGAAACGCTGGGCCAGTTTTTCGGGGGGAAGTATCTTAATCATAAGCGGGACCGTACAGTTCTTTAATACGGTGAAGGCATGGGATCGGAAACCATTGGATCAGGAGTCCTGGGTCTGGAAAGCCGGTGTAATTCCAATTGAGGCTAGGCTACGGGTATCGCCGCCACCCTCGTCGGATAAGGAGCCCTCCAGGGCATGAAGCCTCCGGGGCACATTCCTCAACGAACGCCCCCACCGTCGGGAGCTCGGACCGGACTGTCAGAGGATGGAGGAGGAGAGGGGAGGGAGAGGGGTGGAGGAGGGAGGGGGAGGGAGGAGGAGGAGGAGGATGGAGGAGGAGGATGGAGGAGGATGGAGGAGGAGGAGGAGGAGGAGGAGGAGGGGAGGAGGAGGAGGAGGAGGAGGCCGCCAGAATTCGCCTGGCCCTGCAGGAACCTCCAAATGACTGGCGCTCTGGCTGACCCCCGTTTGCGAGGGGTGCAGGGCGGACGGCCCCCGGCCAGGAGCGGAGGGCCTCCGCGGAGGGGATGCGCTCGTTGACCACGATTTCTTTCGTCACGCTGGCGCGGCGGCCGCCCGCTCGCTGGGCCCTGCTCGCCGCCTGCCTCGAGCCTGCTCCTCCTCCCCCTCTTTCTGTCCCTCCTCCACTTCCTCCTCCTCCTCCTCCTCTTCCTCCTCCTCCTCCTCATCATCATCATCAGCATCATCACCACAACCAGCATCACCACCACCATGCATCATCACCATCATCTTCATTATCAGCATCATCATCAGCAGCATCATCATCATAATCAGCATCAGCATCATCATCATCAGCAGCAGCATCATCGTCAGCATCAGCAGCATCATCATCATGAGCAGCAACATCCTCATCATCCAACAACATCAGCATCATCATCACCATCGTCATCATCATCGTCATCGTTCTGTTGATCATCATCATCAACAGCGTCATGATCAACATCGTCATCGTCGTCCTCCTCATCATCAGCATCATCATCACCATCATCATCAGCAGCATCATCATCAGCAGCAGCATCAGCATCATCATCACCATGATCATCATCATGATCATCATCATCGTCGTCATCATCATAGTCATCATCATGATCGTCGCCATCGTCATCATCATTATCGTCATCGTTATCGTCATCGTCATTATTCTCATAATCAGCAGCAACATCATCATCGTAATCGTCATCGGTATCATCTTCATCAGAAGCACCATAATCATCATCGCCGTCAGCATCAGCATAAGCAGCATCATCATCATCATCAGCAGCAGCAGTACCAACAGCACTCTCACCATCAGCATCAGCATCAAGATCCGCATCATCAGCATCAGCGTCCTCATCATAATCCACACAATCAGCCTCATCATCATCATCATCAGCATAATCATCATCATCATCATCATCATCATCATCAGTATCAAGTCATCGTCGTCATCCTCATCAGCAGCAGCGTCATCATCCTCATCAGCATCATCACCGTCAGCATCAGCATCTGCATTAGAAACAGCAGCATCACCACCATAGTAATAATCATCATCAGCATAAGCATCATCATCATCATCGTCATCATCATCATCCGCATCAACACCGTCTTATTCCCCTTCATCATCATCATGACCATCACGGTCATCAGTATCATGCGTGTCATCGTCATCGTCGTGGTTATCGTCGTCGCCATCAGCATCAGCATCATCAGTATCAGCGCCAGCATAATCATCATCAGCAGCATCATCCTCGTCAGACTCGTCTCCTCGTCAGACTCGTCATCAGCATCACCAGCATCGTCGTCATCAGCATCGGCAACCTAATCAACATAATCATCACCAGCAGGAGCAACATCACCACCATCATCAGCAGCATCAGCATCACAATCATTATCAGCATCATCACCAGCATAATCACCATCATCAGCATCATCATCATCAGCATCATCATCAGCAGCAGCATCAGCATCATCATCACCAGTATCATCATCATGATCATCATGATCATCAGCATCGTCGTCATCATCCTAATCATCATCATGATCGTCGCCATCGTCATCATCATTATCGTCATCGTTACCGTCATCGTCAGTATCCTCATAATCAGCAGCAACATCATCATCGTAATCGTCATCGGTATCATCTTCATCAGAAGCACCAGAATCATCATCGCCGTCAGCATCAGCATAAGCATCATTATCATCATCAGCAGCAGCAGTACCAGCAGCACGCTCACCATCAGCATCAGCATCAAGATCCGCATCATCAGCATCAGCGTCCTCATCATAATCCACACAATCAGCCTCATCATCATCATCATCATCATCAGTATCAAGTCATCGTCGTCATCCTCATCAGCAGCAGCGTCATCATCCTCATCAGCATCATCACCGTCAGCATCAGCATCTGCCTTAGAAACAGCAGCATCACCACCATAGCAATAATCATCATCAGCATAAGCATCATCATCATCGTCATCATCAGCATCCGCATCAACACCGTCGTATTCCCCTTCATCATCATCATGACCATCACGGTCATCAGTATCATGCGTATCATCGTCATCGTCGTGGTTATCGTCGTCGCCATCAGCATCAGCATCATCAGTATCAGCGCCAGCATAATCATCATCAGCATCATCATCCTCGTCAGACTCGTCTCCTCGTCAGACTCGTCATCAGCATCACCAGCATCGTCGTCATCAGCATCGGCAACCTAATCAACATAATCATCACCAGCAGGAGCAACATCACCACCATCATCAGCAGCATCAGCATCACAATCATTATCAGCATCATCACCAGCATAATCACCATCATCAGCATCATCACCATCATCATCATCATCATCATCATCAGCATCGTCATCGTCATCGTCATCGTCATCGTCGTCGTTGTCAACAACAACACCATCATCAACATCCTCATACGCAACCGCGTCCTAATCCTCACCCTCCTCCTCAGACTACTCCTCCTTCAACTCGTCCTCCTCCTCCTTCGCGATCCCCTCATCCCCTTTCTCATCTCCTCATCCTCTTTCGCCCTTCGCCTCGCGAACTGCGACCTGCGATCTGCGATCTGCGATGGCGCAGCCGCATGCGCAGCCGACGCGCGCGTGCGCCCAGAGCAGCGCGCCTCACTCCTGCTTGGCCTGCCTCTCCTCTAGGTCGTCCTGCTCCTGATTGTCCTGCTCCTCCTCGTCCCCACTCCGCCGCCTCCTCCTCCTCCTCATCCTCCTCCTCCTCCTCCTCCTCCACCTCCTCCTCCTCCTCCCCCTCCTCCTCCTCCGCCTCCTCCTCCTCCTCCTCCTCCTCATCATCATCATCAGCATCAGCATCATCATCATTATCATCATCATCATCATCATCATCATCATCATCATCATCATCATCGTCGTCATCGGCATCATCAGATTCACCATCGTCATCAGCAGCATCATCATCGTCATCACCATCAATATCACTGTCGTCACCAGCATCGTCATCATCATCAGCATCATCGACATCATCAGTAAATGTGGCATCAGACTCGCCATCATCATCAGCATCATCAGCATCATCATCAGCATCATCACCATCGTCAGTATCATCATCATCAGCAGCAGCAACATCATCATCATCATCAGCATCATCATCATCAGCATCATCATCCTGAGCATCAGCATCACCATCATCATCAGCATCATCGTCATTATCAACCTCATTACTCCATCAAGCCATCAGCAGCAGCATCATCCGCATCGCCACCATCATCAGCATCATCATCATCAGCATCATCAGCATCATCAGCATCATCGTCATCATCAGCAGCAACAGCACCATCAGCATCGTCATCATCATCATCATCATCATCATCATCATCATCATCATCACTAGCAGAAGTAGCAAAATCACAATCATCACCACCGCCAGCATAATCGTCGGCATCGTCATTCGCAGCAGCATTCGCATCAGCAGTTGCAGCAGCAGCATCATCGACAGCAGCACCATTGGCATTAGTATCTTCGTCCACATCAGCATCAGCATCAGTTTCATCATCAGCATCGTCATCATCATCATCATCATCAGCGTCAGCATCAGCATCAGCATCGTAATCATCGCGGTCATCATAATCGTAATCATCAAAATCATCATAATCATCACCATCAGCATCATCATCATCATCATAATCGTCATCACCACCACCGTCGTCATCATCACCGTAAGCAGCGTTTTCAGCATGATCATCATCATCATCATCAGCATCACCATCATCATCACCGTCGTCGCCGCCACGATCATCATCATCATCATCATCATCATCATCATCATCATCATCATCATCATCATCATCATAAGCAGCAGCAGCGACATCAGCATCCGCATCAGCATCAGCAGCCACATCATCAGTAGCATCAGTGTCACCATCATCCTCACAAGCATCATCGTCATCGTCATCGTCATCGTTATCAGCAGCAGCATCACCAACGTTATGCTAGCAAAATCAGCATCGTCAGCATCCGCATCAGCATCAGCAGCAGCATCATCAGCAGCATCATCATCAACACCACAATCATCATCAGCATCATCAGCATCATCATCTCCATCATCATACGCCCGACCACCAACACCACCACCAACACAATGATCATGATCATCATCATCATCATCATCATCAGCATCATCATCATCATCATCATCATCAAATTCAGCATCGTCATCCTCATCAGTATCCTCATCACCCTCATGATCATTACCTTCTTAATAACCAGCAACATAAAATACAACGACTAGAACGATAATACGAATCAGAAGACGAAGACGAAGAAGGCGAAGATGAAATAGAGGATCTATAAGAAGAAGAAGGAGAAGAAGAAGAAGAGAAAGACAGCAGCAGCAGCACCAGCAGCACCATCCACCGTCACGACACCGTGCGCGAGGTTGTGCGGCCTGCGAGGGCCCCTCCCTCCAGAGATCTTTGCTGTGGGCACCGTTGACGAGTTTTGCCCCTTGAGGGCGCAGGAGATGAGCAACCACGGTGCCGCTACTCACAGCCTGGGGCAAAGGACTCAAGCCGATGCCCCTGGACCAAGAATCCTGGGGCACGCGAAATTAGCAAAGGAGCGAACTCCGATGCCCCCGCCGGAGAGCCTGACGGGTCGACAATCGCCTCAACCTAGGAAAAAGGTCCAGGGTGCACCTAATTAGCCCACCCGGCATGCCGGCGGGCTCGGCGGCGATGAAGACCCTCACGGCCGCCTCCCCTATGTGGCCGTTCGGCCTTTCTTTCACTGGGTAGAGCGACCCCGTGGGTTGAGTACCACGGCTAGCCGCCCAGCCCCACACCTCGCGGCATAGGGTGACCGCGCCTCAGGGTGATGGCCCCCTGCAGGGAAGGAACGCCCTGCAGGACCGCCACGACACCAGCATCCGCGTGGACATCGTGCCGTTCAGCCTTCCCTGTAACCCCCCCGGGCCGCGGCTTCGCTGCGGGCACGCGCGGGCCACGGCCGCGGGCCAAACCGGGTGGCAGCGGCCCTCCTCAGTGCTCTCGGGCAGCCGGGGCCGAGGCCTACCTCACCCTGCAGGCCCAGCAAGCGCCGCGCAAGAGAGTGTGGCCACTCGGCGGGCGACCTCCGACATCCTCCTCCTCCTCCTCCTCCTCCTCCTCCTCCTCCTCCTCCTCCTCCTCCTCCTGCTCCTCCTCCTGCTCCTGCTCCTCCTGCTCCTCCTGCTCCTCCTCCTGCTCCTGCTCCTGCTCCTGCTCCTGCTCCTGCTCCTGCTCCTGCTCCTGCTCCTCCTGCTCCTCCTCCCTCCTCCTCTGCTCCTCCTCCTCCTCCTCCTCCTCCTCCTCCTCCTCCTCCTCCTCCTCCTCCTCCTCCTCCTCCTCCTCCTCCTCCTCCTCCTCCTCCTCCTCTCGCCGAGGCGCCGCAGCGAAACCGACGCCCGAGCGAAGCCGGCGGGCCGCAGGCAGCCCAGAGGGGCGCGGCGACGCAGAGGCGACGGCACGGCCACCGATCCAGCCACGCGGGCCGAACGCAAGCGACTGCGGCGCAGCCGAACCAGCCGAACCGCGGACTCCCCTGGCAACCCGCGGTCAGGGAGCCATCAGGAGCCTTCCTCCCCTCCGCCTTCGACGGCTCGCCGAGGGATCGGCGAGGAGCCCTCGACGACGAAACCGCACGGTCCTGGGCGGGGTGGATGATCGGCGGTGAATGGGCGATTGGGAAACTGGTGGAGGAGGAGGAGGTTGTAAGAGGTTGTGGGGCTGAGGGGGGAGGAGGGAGACTGGATGGAGAAGGGCCGTGAATGGGCGGTGAATCGGGGTCGACGCATCCACCCCTGAGTCTACAGGTCGGGAACCTCTACTTGGCGTGTCGCGGCGGCGGCCCTGGCGACACGCGATGCCTTGCCAGCGGATGGCGTGTCGCTCCGCCCCGCAAGATGGAAGGCTGGGGAAAACTCGAGACGTTACCGCTTTGGGGACTGGGACGTGGGTAGCGTGTCGCGCCGAAGCGTGGTAGGCCGGAAACGGCCAAGCGACACGCTGCCCGAAGATTCCCACCATATTCGGCTGCACGTAAGAGTGACCCTGGGCAAGAGTGACCTTTGGTGCGCGGCTTTTCGGGGGGCGCGAGGAGGCCAAAACTCAAGCGCGCAAGACGCTACTATCGCACCGAGCGCGGCGATCGCGTGACCCCGGTGAGCGCGCACCAAAGGTCACTCCGGCGAAGGCGTGCAGTCGACGTATCCCCCCTCACGACGCTCCAGAGCCTCTCGCTCTGCCGGCGAGGCCCCCGCGCCCAGAACCTTGGGCGGCTCCGGGGCCCTCCGACGACCCGCGGGCCCGAAGGTACGCTTCTGGATGCCCCCCCCTGCTCGGCCTGCGCCCGCACGGGCCCCAGGCGAGGACGAGGACGAGGACGAGGACGAGGACGGCGACGGCGACGACGACGACGACGACGACGACGACGACGACGGCGACGACGACGACGACGGCGGCGGCGGCGACGACGGCGGCGGCGGCGGCGGCGGCGGCGGCGGCGGCGACGACGACGACGACGTCCACGGCGGCGGCAACGGTAGCGGCAACGGCGGCAGCATACCCTCCCTACCTAGGCAACGCTGCCCCCGACACGAGGGCAGCAGCGAAGCCCGCCCCCGACCCCCCCCCCCCCGGCGTGCGCGGGGCAGCAGCGAGAGGGGGGCTCCTCTCCGCTCTCCTCGCGCCGCGGGCCGCCGCCGCCGCGCGCGCGCGAAGGCAGGGAGCGGAGCGCTGAGATCCGACGGCGCGATGTAAACTGAAACACTGTTTTTGTGGGTGCGAGCTGTTCGAACGGCGACCCCCATGCGAGAGCACATACCCACAGCCCCCCCGGAATTCCACCCCGAGGAATCTGGGCGTGTACGCTTATGTTGCATCCTCGGGGGACCTTGTCTGTCCCATCTCGGCCCCATCCGCGTCGAATCCGTGTCGAATCCATGTCGGCCTTGTCGAATCCGTGTCGAATCCGCGCCGAATCTACACCAAATCCGCGTCGAGTCCGCATCGAGCCCGCATCGAGCACAAGAGAAGACACCAATTCTGGGGCTAGGCGAGGTCCCACCGAAGATGCAACGTAAGAAATCTGGGCGTCGCCTCGGTACGGGTCGGGTGTTGCTAGAAGTGCCCCTGGGCCAAGGCGCCCCCAGGATTCTCGGGGTAGCCCAAACGGCCTCCAAAGCAACCCTCACGAGGCCCAGTGCCAGTTACCAACCCGAGAAGAGCGATTCTTTGTGGTCGGCCTCCGGGGGCCACGGCATGGGGGCCCACTCCAGGGGTTGCCTGGGGACAGCGCTGGGGAGCGACCCCACTGGGGCCCGCACCGACAAGGTCACTCTGGCGAGGGGTCACTCGGCCCTCCTACGCCACGAAACTACGAAACTATATAAACAGACACCCTCCTACGAACTTCGCATGTACCTTAAGGGAGGGGACGGTGTGTAAAGTCGCTGGCTCTCAGTGGATTTGATAGATCGCCACCCTCCCCTGAGGCCCAGGACCGATCAAGTGGAGGGTGTCTGTGTATTATTTTTTTGAGACGGACCCTCCCCTCTGGAGGTCTTGACCACTCTCAACAGGGCTGGCTTCTCTTCCGGAATGGTCTTCTGACGACCCCCCAGGGCTGGGAAACGGCCCCTGGGGGCCAACATCAGCGGATTCCAAGTTTTCGGCGCCCAGGGCCGTGGTCCAGGCCCACGAAGCCCACATGTTGGCGCATCTTGTAGGCCACCACACGGCACGGTGCTGGACAGCCAAGTCCAGGATTCACGCATCCCATTTAGCACATGGCACGACATCGCACAGTACCCTGGGGCTCGTACCAGCGTCACGAATCCGATTCTCCGTCCTGCAAGACACAGAATAGCACACGCGGGACGTACTTGTGCGACGGTTACCACGAAAGACTGGCTACCAAGAAAAGTAAACCCAGACATGCCACGTTCTGATCTGTTTAGCACGGGGTCCACAGAAGTCCCGAACCTTTCCCCAGGATCTGTTGTTCATCCTGAGCCGCTTTTACTACGGCCCGTGGCCCAGCAGAGGCGCCTAGAAACCGAAAAACGACCCCGAACCTCCCGTCCTGGCGTTGTTTTACGACGCGAGCATGTCTGATGAAATCTGCTGCCAAGGAAACGAAAACCCACGGCGCGTAAGAATTGAAGAACCGACGACTCTGGAGCCCTAGACCCCATCTTCCTGCGCCAGTCATGGAGCCAGATCGATCTGGGCCCGAAACCGGACGAAAACGCCCGGCTCGAAAAAATTGCGACGCCAGGATCTCACGGAAAGCGCAACGATCGATGATGATCTCTCCATCCCTGGCCCGCGCCCTCCTCGCCAGCAGGCCGCCCCGGATGTGGGGGCGCACGCCCGGGACGAAGCTCAGCAGGGACGGGACGGACAAGAGGCTGGCGCAGAGACCTGGGGACGCTGGCGGACTACACAGCGCAGATGAGAGGCAACGATACGCGGGGGGCTGGCACAGGCGGGGACACATCGACCTGTAATCGGAGATCAATCGCCGATAGATCGGCGTTAGGCCCCCGGTAGTGAATCCGCACGTCCCTGAGCAGGTTGGGGCTATCGGGCCCGGATCGGCGATGAATGGGCGATTGGGGGTCGATGCGTCCACTCCTATGCCTACCCGCTGGCGAACGACAGCCGAACATGTGATCAAGAAAATCTCATCCAATAAATCTGAGCCAGCTGCCTCGAAATTCTAGAATAAAACCTGGGCGAATTTCTGCCGCTCACGCTGAAGAGGCGACAATGCTCAAGAAACTAGGCCGGCTTTCCGGCAAGTTGGTTGAGAAAGACTGGCCGAGCATTTCGGGAGGTTTCTTGATCATATGCTCGACCGTATACAACGCGGAAAATTCCATGAGATCTGGGCGTGGTAATTTTGTCGAGCTGGGCGTGCTCGCGTCACTTCGGGCCCCCGGGCCCTCAACATGCGATCCGGGTCGAGGAACACCACAGAGAGAAAGGGCCTGGGGCTCTGATCGTGATGTTCCGCCCAAACCCCCGACGTCATGATCTTTTCATTACGTCGACCCCTGGAGGTCTCGACCCATTCCCCTGGACCGCTTTTTCATCCTGAGTTGTTGTTTGACGGTCCCGAGGGCCGGTAAGGGCCTCCAGAGGCCGAAAATATCAAAAAGCGAGAACGGGGGATTGTGGAGTCGCAGGGGTTCCACAGCGCGCGCGCGCGAGGGTTTCGCGCTGAGTTCGCGACTGTTTCTCTGCAAACTCTGCTCTGTGTCGTCCTCCTCCTCCTCCTACTCCGCCTCCTCTTCTTCCTCCTTCTCCAGGAGTTGTTTTTTGTTCTTGGCGCCCCCCCCCCCCCCCCCCAAAAAAAAAAAAATGTTTTTTGTTTTTTGATTTTTTTTTTTGGGGGGGGGGGCGCCAGGAGAGAAAAAAAGGAATGCGACGTGGCCACATCTGCCCTCCCCCCTAGAAGGATTCCTATTGGACGCCCCCATAAGAAGGATTCACAGTGAAATCCTCGACAGAAGAATTCCTATCGAAACCCTCCACTGAATGATTCCTACCGAAATCCTCCACATGTGGATTCCTACTGAAACCCTCCACTGAATGATTCCTACTGAAATCCTCGAATGGCAATGGCAATGGCAATGGCAATTGTAATGGTAATGGTAATGGTAATGACAATGGTAATAGTACTGGTAATAGTTACGGTAATGATAGTGGTAACGGGGTAGCGAGGCAATGACAATGGCAATGGCAACGGTAATGGAAATGGTAATGGCAATTGTAATGGCAATGGGAATGGCAATGACAATGGCAATGGTAATGGCCATGGCAATGGTAATGGTAATGGTAAGGGTAGAGGTAAAGGTAGAGGTAATGGTAATGGTAATGGTAATGGTAATGGTAATGGTAATGGTAATGGTAATGGTAATGGTAATGGTAATGGTAATGGTAATGGTAATGGTAATGGTAATGGCAATGGCAATGGCAGTGGTAATGGTAATGATAATGGGAATGGAACTGGGACCTGGAACGGGAACGGGAACGGGAATGGAAATGATAGTGGTAGTGGTAATGGTAATGGCACTGGAAATGGTAATGGTAATGGTAATGGAAATTGTACTAGCATTGGGAATGGCAATGAGAATGGGGATTCTAATGGTAATGGCAGCGGTAGTCTCATGGTAATGGTAATGCTAATGGTAATGGGAATGGGAGTGGAAATGGTACTGGCAATGGTAATGGTAGTGACGAATGGCAATGGCAATGGTGATGGTAATGGTAATGACAGAGGTAATGGTAATGGTACTGGTAATGGTAATGGTAATGGTAACGGTAATGGTAATGGTAAGGGGGTAGCGATTGGCAATGGCAATGACAATGGCAACGGTAATGGTAATGGCAATGGCAATGGGATTGGCAATGGCAATGACAATGATAATGGCCATGGCAATGGCAACGGCAATCGTAAATGAAATGGTAATGGCAATGGTAATGGGAATGGGAACGGGAATGGGAATGTGAATGGGAATAGGAACGGGAACGGGAATGGAAATGGTAGTGGTAGTGGTAACGGAAATGGGAATGATAAGGGTAAGGGTAAAGGTAAAGATAGAGGTAAAGGTAATGGTAATGGCAATGGAAATGATACTGATAATGGTAATGGTAATGGTAAAGGTAATGGTCATGAGAATGGTAATGGCAATGGAAATGGTGCTGGCAATGGTAATGGTAGTGGCTAGTGGCAATGGCAATGGCAATGCGAATGGTAATGGTAATGACAGAGGTAATGGTAATGGTAATGGTAATAGTAACGGTAATGATAGTGGTAACGGGGTGGCGACTGGCAATGGCAATGACAATGACAATGGCAACGGTAATGGTAATGGCAATGGCAATGGCAATGGGAATGGCAATGGCAATGGTAATGGCCATGGCAATGGCAATGGCAATGGTAATGGCAATGGTAATGTGAATGGGAATGGGAACGGGAATGGGAATGTGAATGGGAACGGGCATGGAAATGGCAGTGGTAGTGGTAACGGAAATGGGAATGGTAAGGGTAAGGGTAAATGTAAAGGTAGAGGTAAAGGTAATGGTAATGGTAATGGCAGTTGTCATGGTAATGGTAATGGTATTGGGAATGGGAATGTGAATCGGAATGGTAATGGTACTGGCAATGGTAATGGTAGTGGCGAAGGGCAATGGCAATGGCAATGGTAATGGTAATGGTAGTGGCGAATGGCAATGGTAATGGTAGTGGCGAATGGCAATGGCAATGGTAATGGTAATGGCAATGACAGTGGTAATGATAATGGTACTGGGAATGGTAATGGTGACGATAACGGTAATGGTAATGGTTATGGCAATGGTAACGGGGTAGCGACTGGCAATGGCAATGGCAACGGCGATGGCAATGGTAATGGTAATGGGACTGGCAATGGCAATGGCAATGGGAATGGCAACGGCAATGGCAATGGCAATAGCAATGGCCATGGCAATGGTAATGGTCATGGTCATGGTAATGGTAATGGTAATGGTAATGGTAATGGTAATGGGCATGGGAATGGGAATGGGAATCGTAGTGGTAATTGGAACGGGAACGGGAATGGAAATGGTAGTGGTAGTGGTAATGATAATGGCAATGGTAATGGAAATGGTACTGGTAACGTTAATTCTAATGGCAATGGTGATGGGAATGGGAACTGCAATGGTGATGGCAGCGGTAATGGTAATGGTAATGGCAATTGTGTTGGTAATGTTAATGATAATGGCAATGGTCATGGTAGTGGCGAATGGTAAATGGTAATGGGACTGGTAATGGTAATGGTAACGGTAATGGTAACGGGGTGGCGACTGGCAATGGCAATACCATGGCAATGGCAACGGCAATGGCAATGATAATGGCAATTGTAATGGCAATGGTAATGGCACTGGCAATTGTAATGGCAATGGTAATGGTAATGGTAATGGTAAAGGTAAAGGTAAAGATAAAGGTAAAGGTAATGGTAATGGTAACGGTAATGTGAATGGGAATGGGAATGGGAATGGGGATGGTAATGGTAATGGTATTGGGAATGGGAATGGGAATGGAATGGGAATGGGAGTGGGAGAGATTGAGATAGAGAGAGAGAGAGAAAGAGAGAAAACGAGAAAGGAAACATCAGCATAATGATGAGGAACAACGTGAAATATCGTAAATTTTCGTCTAAAACCCACAGCGACTCCACAATCCCCCGGCCTCCAAAAAGCACCCCGCCATGAGTTGTTCATTGCCCGAGGGGGTCTGGGCACGAGGTTGCAGTTTGTTCGCGTGGTCGGATCTCACGGTTCGGACAGACAGGATGCTGCACATCCCAGCATCCGCCGACGCGCTCTTGTTCCGCCCATGGCCCCCGCGGTCCCGACCGCTCCACCGGGACAGTCTCTCGCTGGGGACCCACGTTTGATGGCCCGGGGGGCCCGAGGCCGCGCCTCGAGGCCCGAGACCTGAGGGAAAAGCACTGGCTCAGAGTAAGACCGTCGGATACCTGGGCACGCAACCAGCAGCGCGGCGTGTACAGCACGCGGGACGGGATCTGCGCTTCGGCCTGCGGCTCGGCGCCTTCGCTCTGCTGGGTGCGCGTGTGCCCCCATAGCCAGTTTGGCTCAAGCCGTCTGGGGTCCCTGAGCTCCGACGTTGCAAAAAGAGCACACAATCGCAAAAAATCACCAGCGGAGCTCCGGACCCTATCTTTCTGCGCCACGCTTCGAGCCGGATCGATCTGTGAGGGTCGCCGGGCCCGAAGCTCGGCGAGAACGCCCGTTGTAGAAAAATGTTATACTTTTTCCTCCCTCGGTCCCGGGTGTGCTTGGTCGCTGCCTCAGGCCAGGCAGCGGCATAGGGGCTGACGGCAATCATGTGCCACCGACGGGGATCCAGAAGCTGAGGGCGGATGGCGTGACGAAGCCAAGCACATGACTGTCAAACCAGCACCGATCAAAAGAATGCTCAAGATTCTTTCGAACTTGCGACGCCCAGGTCTGAAGGGTAACCTCAGTGGACTCTCCTGTGCGGTCATCTGGATCTCAGTCTGCCATGCGGCGCTGGCGGCGCTCTACCCCGCCCTTCTCCAGGCACAGCTCCCCGTCTACACCGTTCGCCCTCCCGCTCGCTGACCTTTTTGGGCCCGCCCTCGCCACACTTCGGGCCGGATGGGAAGGCATGCCTCCGGACCCGCTCGGGAGGAGGAACCGCCCATCCCAACCACGGCGGGGCAGCATCTTGATGCCGACGCCCCACTGCAGGAGTTGATTCTGGCGCAAGCGTACCCTCAGGGATGGGTGTCCGATGGCCTGCACACTGTCACGGATTGCCCCCCTCCGCTCGCGGACCACCCCCCGCTGCCGGCGTGGCCCTTAGACGATGACGGACGGCTCACATGGCCTTGCCTTGGCTCCGGCGGCGCCCTGGCCCTGAAGCCGCGGGATCTGAGCCCGCGGACGGAGGCTCCTCGCAGCCAGGCGCCGACGCACTTCTTGCGCGCACGACCCAGCCACGGGTCTGGCTCGGCATCCACGCCTGGGCGCTTCTGTCTGCCCGCGCCGCGGGCCACGCTCGGAGCCTGGGCAGAGGCTGGGCTCCCCGTATCGCCGTCCACACAGCAAGCCCACTTCCTGCAGCAGCTAGGCAGCACGAGGATCGCGGTGCTGGCGCGGGCTGGGACGGATCCCACACGCGCCCGCGCGGCCGAGGACGCCCCGATACCCGAGTCGCCCCTCGTCACCTTTCTCCGTCTCTTCTCCGCGGTTGTACTCCCTACGGCCTCTCAGGATCCCGCAGGATCCTGCAGGGTCCTGCAGGATCCTGCGCGTCCTGCAGGATCCTGCGCGCTAGCCCGGGTCAGTCCAACCCTGGCTCCGCAGGCTCCTGCAAGCTCTGGCACTCTGGCTGACCCCCGTTTGCATTGACCCCTGTCTCTTACAGCTCCACTTCGGGAGCCTTGAGACGGGGCTCAATGCAAACGGGGGTCAGTCAGAGTGCCTGATCTTGCAAGATCCTGCAGAACCAGGGGTGCATTGACCCCGGGCTTGGGCGCAAGATCTTGCAGGATCATGCAGGATCTTGCAGGATCCTGCAACGCCTGTCTGACCCGGGTCTAGATTGACCTGGGTCAATAGATCCACGAGCGGTCTGGGCCCCCATTGGGAGCTGGGGGTTCCTGCAGAATCCCCGCGGCACCTCCATGGAACTTGTCGTCAACCCAACCCTGAGACTAGAGACCCCCGACGTCTTGATTTTTTCGCAACGTCGACCCCTGGAATTCTCGACCCATTCCCCTGGACCGGTTTCGCATCCTGACTCGTTTCTTGACGGTCCTGGGGGCCGGTGAGGGCCCCCAGAAGGCGAAAGTAGCAAAAAACCTCTCGTCATGCTGTTGTTCATTACCCGAGGGGCTCGGGGGATCCCCGAGTCGCATCTTCTTCATGCCCTTCGGTTCCGCCCCGTGTCGGGCCTCGGGGCCCCCACGGCTCGACCGGGCTCGAAGCATGCCTGTCATAAAAAGAGGCGTGTCCAGGGCTCCGGTCGTACGGCCTGGCGACGCCGCCATTTTGTCGCAGCGTCGGCTGCTGTAAGGACAACAAGCTGGTCAGTCTCTGCCGCGCATCGCCACGAACTGCACGGGTTACTCGAAAGATACCGCGGTCACCTCCATGATTCTTCTTCATGTCCTACTTCTCCCTTCAACAAAACACTTGTTTCGCGGCGTCGTATCCGAGGGGCCTTCTCCTCGGTCCCTGGGGTCCGACGCTGCGAACCAAACGCGCAGCATCGCGAAAGATCACGACGGAGGCCTGCAGCACCGTGCATGGCATGGCCAGCGAGCCGCGCCAGAGGCGGCCACTCGCGGGCTCCTCCTCCTCCTCCTTCTCGGAGAAGGCTCCCTCCTCGGCGCGCGCAGAACAGCCTCTGTGGCGTTCGGGCCCATGTGGCCCATAGTGGCCATCAGCTGACGTGCAGCTCTCCTCTCGTCCTCATGGCGCGCCGGCATGCAGGCGCGCGGGCTTCAGCTGGCGTGCAGCTCTCGCCGTCGCGCGGGATTCTTGCGTGCGCCCCGTGGCGCTGTGCCTGCGTTAGCGACGCTTGCCTCCTTGCAAACTGACCCTGTTGTGGGCGCGAAGTGGAGTGAGATCCAGTTCAAGGGCGCGGTTGATTGCCTGGCAGTCAATGGGCTGATGACGCCAGAAGATCTGGCCAACATTCAACTCGAGGATTTGAAGGACACCGACGGCGCGCCAGCGCTGACGAAGGACGTCCTGAGGCGCGCTCTGGATCGCGCGACGGTGGCGGGCGCCAAGGCGAGTTCGCCGGGGGCCGCGGGACCCGCGCGGGCTTCGGCGCGTTGTTTCGCCTCGGTTGCTGCAGAATCCTGGTCACGCGCCGAAGGGCGAACATGTCAACATCGGTGCGGGCCTGGCCCAGATCACCCTGAGGGACCTTCCGCAGTCCCTGTGGCCGAGGCTGCTGCGCGGCTTCGCCCCGGCGCGCTGGCGCGTTTCCACCGTTCGTTCAGGTCGGCAAAGACCGATGCGCTGGCCACCGAAGTACAGCGCGCTAAAGCCAGGGGCATCGCGCACCCGTTCACTTATACAGAGCTCGCGAAGTTTCAGCCGCTATGCGCACGTGGCGCGGGCGGTTCTCCCGACGATGACGAGCCCGAGTCAAAAGAGGCAGCCACGTTGGCCAGAGCGCTCGGGCGGGGAACCGCGGCGGAGTCAGCCGCTTCCGGCGTGGACGCCATGGCACCAAGCTTTCGACGCGTGGAGCGTGGCGGCGGCGGTCACAGATCAGATCTCGCACACGAGCGCCATGACCCACAAACACGTTGTTCTTCAGGCGAGTCGACATTGGCGTCCATCCGCTGGTCGCCGGCGAGAGTGCGCTAGCCCAGGTTGCACTGGATGCCCCTTTAACAGGGGCCGAAGGCCCAGGTTGCCTTGGTCTACGACCGCCTCGTGCGGAGGACGTGGGCCGAGCGTGCCGCCGCCGGCGTGGCAGGCTTCCAGGCCGCAGTTCCAGGAAGCACATCGCCACAAGGGGCTCATCGGGCCTGAGGGGCGATCTGCGCTCTGGAAGGCCAGCCCAAGCCCTGGAAATCCTGCCGTCTCAACTCTCTCGAGGCGGGCGCTGTCGTCGGGTTTCGGGGCCCGGGACCCCACAGATCGATGCGCCTCGACAAAAAAAAACGGCGCAGACAAAGGTCGGGTCTGGGGCTCCGGTCGTGACCTTTTGCAAAGCTTCGACGTCTTCGAGCCGTCGGATCTCTGCGCCCCGCATGGCGACGGGACGCCAGCGGCTCGCGGCTGGGACCCCCCCCCGGGAGGGCGTCGCGAGGCCGGGGGCCCCGGGCCCCCAGAGCTCCGACGCCGTGGGCCCCTGGAGATCGGGACCCCTTCCGGCGGCAGGCGAGGGGGGGGAAGTGGGAGGGAGGAGGAGGAGGAGGAGGAGGAGGAGGAGGAGGAGGCGGAGGCGGAGCAGGCGGAGGAGGAGGAGGAGGAGGAGGCGGAGGAGGAGGAGGAGGAGAAGGCCTCCTCAGAGGGCGGCGGGACTTCTCTGGAGCCCTCGGGCCTTCTCAGAAGTGCTCTTGCGACTTCGGGGAAAGCTCAGAAGACTGCTCAGAAGGGCGAGGGGCTTCCGAGCCTTCCGAGAAGGCCCGCCAATTCTCGCTGCCCCCACCCCCATCGCCGTCGACCCTTCCCCAGAGGACCGGGTCGTCATCCTTCGTCACGTCCAGAATGGGTACGGAGAAGTGGGTACGCTGCGTGACAGCAAGCGTTGTCAGATGTCGGCAGCGGCCGCTGTTGGGCAGGCGACCAACGCCCGCGGCCACGCAGGCAGCGAACCATGTTCAAAATGACCAGGGAACGCTGCCGGTCTTCGTACCCATTCGTTCCGTACCCGTGTCGATCTTCCCGAAGCCTACATCGTCTTGCGACGGCCCAGGGCCCCGCAAGGGCAGCTGGAGATCTCAAAGTGTTTTTTCTCGCCACGAATGAAGTGGGGGTCTCGAATTCGATTGGCCCTGAGATCCGACGTCACGAAAAATGAAGCACCGTAACAAAATATCGCGACCAAAACCCTAGACCTCAAGGAAGGGGGGGAAGGGAGCGGAGGGGCTGGAGGGGCGCGCGAGACCGGGGAAGAGAGCACAGAAAGAGAGAGGGAGCAGGGCGCGAGAGGGGCACCACAGGCTCCTGCCCGGACGAGGCGGGCCTTTGGCCTGCACGCAGCGCTCCCGGAAACCCTCGACCCTCGATACACCTTGCGCTCGAAAGCCTCGAATCTCGAACCCCTCCTAGATTCTCCTCCTCCTCCTCCTCCTCCTCCTCCTCCTCCTCCTCCTCCTCGGGCCTCCGGCCGCGGCCGCAGAGGTGGCGAGGCGGCGGGGGGGGGGAGGGCCCAGACCCCCGTCGTCGGGACTTGCTCCCAACATCGACCCCCAGGAGGCCTCGACCTCCTCCTCCTCCTCTTCCTCCTCCTCCGCCTCCTCCTCCTCCTCCTTCTCTTCCTCCTCTTCCTCCTCCTCCGCCTCCTCCTCCTGGGGAAGGGGGGAATGGGCGGAGGAGAAATGGAACGCGGGGCAGTGCATGTCGCGAAGAACCATTCCCAAGGACCGCCTGGAGCCTGGGCGTGATTTCCACACGTCGAGTCGTTTGCGGAATGCTTCAGGTTCAACCCACCCACCCCCTCCGTCCATGCACGCAAACTTACGGGAGTCTGATAAACAGAAAAACAAACTCTCGTTCACCCTGAGGCGTTTTTTGACGGTCCCGAGGCCTGGTAAGAGCCCTCAAGTGCAGAAAATTGTCAAAAACCTCCCGTCGAATAAGCTTGCTCACGGCGTGAGGGGGTCTGGGGAGGTGGCGACGCGGGGGGGAGGAAGGGGGTCGAGCGGAAAGCGTCTCTGCGCCCTCCCCCCTCCCAATGGGAGGGGAAGGGCGGGGAATGGCAGGGAAGGGGGGGGGGGCAGTGCAGTGAGGGAGAGAGGGAGCGAAGGAAGGGGGGGGGAGGAGGAGGAGGGCGGAGGAGGAGGGCGCAGGAGGGCGGGGGGAGGAAGACAAGCAGAGGTCGGAGGGCGGAGAAAGAGCAGGAGATGGGAGGGGAGGGGAACGGGCGCCTGCGCGCACCGCGCGCCGCGCCATGCGGAGGCCACGCCCAGCCCCCCCCCGGAGGGCACCGCGCGCGGGAAGCAAAAAAGGTAGGCCGCGAGAACTCGCGGGCCAAAGGGCGGCGCGCCGCGGGTCCCCTGACTCTCCTGCCCAGCCGGAAAACAAACAAACATCAAACAAACAAACAAAAAACAAAAGAACAAACAAACAAACAAACAAACAAACAAACAAGCAAACAAAACGAATACAAATCTCCGAAGAGGTGATTTGTGCCAGTCCAGCGCATTCCTCGACTTCAGCCTCCGGGGCCCGCTGTCGGGCCTGGGGGCGAAAGACTGCCCCCCGGGAAGCGGTTGCGACCTATGGGGCCGCAGATTGCAAATCATATCGGCGGTTGTCGGGGTTCGCGCATCGCGCCTTGCGGCGTGCGACGCGCGGTGACCTCCGCGCCCTCGCGCCGCCACCTTGGAGCAGGGCGGCCTCGCAGGGCGGCCCCATCTGGCCCGGACCGCGGAGCGCGAAGCGCAATTGTCTGTGCGCCCCCGCTGACGGCCCAGACAGCATACTTTTTAAGCACTTCCCCGCACCTGGAGACCGCACTCTCGGCACCGGGGGACCACTGCTGTGGAAAGGGGGGGGGCGATGGCCCTAACCAGGACCGTGCGCAGAAATGCCGGTGCAGAAATGCCGGTGCTGGCCTGATCAACATCTCCCTTGGCCATGGCCAATTCGTGGGCCATCCTCGCGAATCGGCGGCGGCGACGTGGACCATGGCCAAGATCGGCGTCGAGAAGATCCCGCGACCTCCAGGTCATGATCGCCGTGCTTCCTCCCCCGATTCTGGGCCCCCACGGGCGGTCCAAGAAAGGCTGGTCCAGCAGGGGAGCGGGCCGAGGGAACTCGAGGGTCCCGAGCCGCTCGCAAACAGCGGGCCGTCATACGAGGTACGCGCCTGCACCAGAGGGGCGGATTCTGTGTTTTCTTGTCATCACGCCTCAGCCGGCACGCTGCAAGGAAACGCACTGCCACTACACAGCATCCCCCACCCCCCCACACGATTATCTATGTATGTCAGTGTTTCGCCCGAACGGCGGCAAAAAGGACCATTTCCCTGCCTGCCTCCGCCTTCGTCTTTGTCGGCCTCTTGTTCTTTTCCAGGCAGGGTACCTCTGCATCCTCCTCATGAGCCCGTGTGCACATCCTCTCTTCCCCCCTTCCCACTGCCTCCCGTCGCCATTTGGTTCGCACATATTGCGGCCGCTGCTGTCCATTGGTTGGTTCGCACAGATTGCCCGCCGATGTCCACCCTTCACTTCTGAACCCACATTGCGACTGGCGCACCTTCCACCGATTGTCAGGCTTTGTTCGCAAAGTGGACACGTCTCAACTCGATTGGGCAATGGCTGAACACCTGATCCTGAAATGCGCCACGGACTTTTTCCAAAACTCTGTCAATGTAGACGGAAGCACTCCGCTCTCGTGTGCTGAGCCCTTGTCTGGCATGCAAGGCTTTTGTTTTTCACGTCCTCCGCGTCGCCCAACCACACCACTACGCCCCAGCGCCACGACGGAGACCAGCAGGTCCACCACCAGCAACACCGCGACGGCGACCAGCAGGAGGACGAGGAGGAGGGGGAGCTGGCGGAGGAGAGGAGGACAAGGAGTCAGAGTGCCAGGAGGAAGCGGGGACGCTGGAGGAGAAAGAGGACGAGGGGGCGGAAGCGGCGCCGCAGGAGGCAGAGGGCGGCAGCGCTGGGACCCCGCCGCCCTTCGGCTAGAAGGGGCCCGGGGACGCACGCCAGAGCGGGCCCCGAGCGAGGGCGGGGCTGGAACGCCCGCGACTCTCGGGGCGGCCGGGGGGGGGGCGCAGCGCAGCCGCGCCGGGCGAGAGACGAGGCGCCGAGGGGGCTGAAAAAAGGAAGGGCGCAGCCCGCTGGAGGAGACGAGCGGGGGGCCCGCGCGGCCAGGGACGCGCGCCCGCGCCCGCCCCGCGCGCGGGGGGGGGGGATGCACGACGATGGCACATGGATGGCCCCAAGGAACCTCCAACACGCCCTTAAAAGACCCCGCCCCCGCGACAACCCCCATGCAACTAAGTCACCCACCGGAAGAATGTCAAGGCTTGCGGGCTTGCGGCGCCCCCTCCTTTTCGGCTTTCTGGCGCTCCAAGACAACCCGACAAGCTGAGAGGCGCCCAAGACAGCTCCAAGGAGGGCCCCAAGACTGCCCCAACAGGGGCCCAAGAAAAGGAACACGAATCAAAAATCCGAGCCGCCCGGCCCGAGAGGCCCCAAGGAGGCCCCAAGAGGCCCCCCCAACAGACAGGGAAATATTATGTTTTCGGTATGTTCTGTGCGTCTCTTTGGCAATATGGTCCGCGCAGCCCATCGACGGCGGTCCTCGCGGCAACGGGATCGTCGACGCCGGTCTTGCAGATGGGCTCGACAGCGAGAATACAACGACGGCGCTGATGGAAGCCATCAAACAAATTACGCCGAGGACAATCTCTGACACAGTGCAACTCGTTTCAAGATCCCGCCAAAAAATACAATCCAATGTCAAATTGCGCCCCAAGGCTCCGCGGCCACTTAGACATCACGGGGCATGCGCGCTGGCAGCTCACGGCACACGTTGCCCATGCCGCCGCGGTCGATGGCGCGCGCTGCGACCGCCTCCAGGCGCGCGGTGCAGTCGCCGGGCGTCTCCCCCCAGGGGCGCCGCGGCAAGGTTTTCGCGAGGCGGCCCCCGGTCCAAGCCACGGCCGCGTCGTGGAGCTTGCTATCCTGCCAGTAGCCCGGCTGGATGGACGCGTCGCCCCCGAGGAATACTTTGCACTCTCTGCGTCGGAGCTGCTCAGTTTCTGCACGTCCTCAAGCATCCGCAGGTTCGCCGATTTGCCCTTGGCCCCCTGGCCCACCCATGCATCCCCATTCTTCCTGGCTGGCGCAAGCTCCTGGGCCTTCTTCTGCGTTTGAGGGCGCGCAACTGCATGCACTCCCCTACCCCGCTGCGACTGCCAGCAGCCCACGAAAAGAGGCAGGAGGGAGGAAAACGCAGGAATCAAGAGAGAAGAAGCAGGAGGAGGAGGCGTGGATACTGCCGCCGGCCCGCCGCCGCCAGCCGCCGCCGGCCGCCGCCGCCCCCCGCCGCGCCGGCGTCCGCGCGGGCCCTCCGCCCGCCGCGGCCTGGTGCGCCCGCGCGACAGCGGGCGGCGGCCGCGGCCCAGTCTCCGCGGCCCCCCTCTCCTCCTCGCCTTGCGGCGCCGGCGGGGCCCCGCCCGCCCGCCTGCTGCGGCGGCCCACCAGAGCGCTGGGGCCCCGCCAGCAGCCGCCCTCCTCCGCCGTTGTGGTGGCCGGGCCGCTGGTGGTGCTGCTGGCTGCCGCCGTGGTGGTGGCGCTGCTGGTCGCTGTCGTGGTGGTGGTGCTGGTCGCCGTGCTGGTGGTGGTGGCGCAGCTGGTGGTAGTCGTTGTTGTGGTGGTGCTGCTGCTGCTGCTTGTTGTGGCAGTTGTGGTAATGGTTGTCGTGGTGCTGCTGGTCGCCGTGCTGCTCCTGGTCGCCGTCGTGGTTGTGGTGGTGGTGCTGGTCGCCGTGCTGGTGGTGGTGGCGTTGCTGGTCGAAGTCGTAGTGGTGGTGGTGGTGGTGGTGGTGGTGGTGGTGGTGGTGGTGGTGGTGGTGGTTATGCTGCCGCCGCTGCTGCTGCTTGTTGTCGCAATTGTGGTAGTAGCTGTCGTGGTTCTGCTGGTCGCCGTGCTGCCCCTGGTCGCCGTCGTGGTGGTGGCGCTGGTCGCCGTGCTGGTGGTGGTGGCGCTGCTGGCGTAATCGTAGTGGTGGTGGTGGTGGTGGTGCCGCTGCTGCTGCTGCTCCTGCTGCTGCTGCTGCTGCTTCTGCTGCTTGTTGTCGCTGTAGTGGTAGTGGTTGTCGTGGTGCTGCTGGTCGCCGTGCTGCCCCTGGTCGCCGTCGCAGTGGTGGCGGTGCTGGTCGCCGTGCTGGTGGTGGTGGCGCTGCTGGTCGTAGGCGTGGTGGTGGTGGTGCTGCTGCAGCTGCTGCTGCTTGTTGTCGCAGTTGTGGTAGTGGTTGTCGTGGTGCTGCTGGTCCCCGTGCTGCCCCTGGACGCCGTCGTGGTGGTGGTGGTGCTGGTCGCCGTGCTGGTGGTGATGGCGCTGCTGGTCGTAGTCGTAGTGGTGGTGGTGGTGGTGGTGGTGGTGGTGGTGGTCGTTCTGCTGCTGCCGCTGCTGCGGCTTGTTGTCGCAGTTGTGGTAGTAGTTGTCGTGGTTATGCTGGTCGCCGCGCTGCCCCTGGTCGCCGCCGTCGTGGCGGTGGTGGTGGCGCTGGTCGACGTGCTGGCGGTGGCGGCGTTGCTGGTCGTAGTCGTGGTGGTGCTGGTGGTGGTGCTGCAGCTGCTGCTGTTGCTGCTGCTGCTGCTGCTGCTTGTTGTCGCTGCAGTGGTAGTGGTTGTCGTGGTGCTGCTGGTCGCCGTGCTGCCCCTGGTCACCGTCGTGGTGGTGGTGGTGCTGGTCTCCGTGCTTGTGGTGGTGGCGCTGCTGGTCGTAGGCGTGGTGGTGGTGGTGGTGCTGCAGCTGTTGCTGCTTCATGTCGCAGTCGTGGTGGTGGTTGTCTGTGGTGGTGGTGCTGCTGGTCGCCGTGCTGGTGGTGGTGGCGCTGCTGGTCGTTGCCGAAACGGTGGTGGTGGCGGTAGTACTGCTTCTGCTTGTTGTCGCCGTACTGGTAGTGGTTGCCGTGGTGCTTCTAGTCCCCGCGCTGCCCCCGGACGCCGTCGTGGCGGTGGTGGTGCTGGTCGCCGTGCTGGTGGTGGTGGCGCTGCTGGTCGTAGTCGTAGTGGTGGTGGTGGTGCTGCTGCTGCTTGTTGTCGCAGTTGTGGTAGTAGTTGTTGTGATTCTGCTGGTCGCCGTGCAGCCACTGGTCGCTGTCGTGGTGGTGGACGCCGCGCTGGTGGTGGTGGCGCTGCTGGTCGTAGTCGTGGTGGTGCTGGTTGTGGTGGTGGTGCTGCGGCTGCTGCTGCTTGTTGCCGCAGTAGTGGTAGTGGTTGTCGTGGTGCTGCTGGTCGCCGAGCTGCCCCTGGTCGCCGTCGCGGTGGCGGTGGTGCT